TTACTGTGAAAATTTAATATTTCACATCTCTATTTAATTATTCCATAATTACAGTTAGTTTCACACTAGGCACATCATTATGTTTAATCATTTGAATTGATGAATTGTACTGTACAGTAAATAAATACTGAGTTACTTTCCCTATAAAAAGCAAGGAAAGGAGATAACAATAAATATATAATATAAACAAATACATACTATTGTACACTTAAACCATATAGTTATCCTAGTGAAATGATGCATATATACTTGTGGTTGCAAACATCGTGAGGACTTCTCTATGACTCATAGCTGACGACTCCCGTCTCCTCTGCTGTCTATTTTCGTTTCAGTGGTGAGGCTTGAGGTTGTAATTTAACTGTCAACATCCATTAGGTGTGAAACTGTTCGGTGTGAAACCCAAAAGAATAGTCATTTCAAATGCAGTGATGCAAAATAGCTTGCTGGTTAGTTGGTTCAACCAATATGAAACCAAAATGCCACCCACTGTTAATAAAAAAACTATGTACAGTCACTACAACTTGATACCAAGAATCTGGTGTAGTTTTACATTGGAAGTACTGTGGTGGTTTTGAAAGTGTGGTTATACATTTATAGGTGGTTAAATATATACACGGCACAAAAAGTATTTTTTGCTGAGGATGACAAATGCAAAATGTTAAGAAAATGACTTGGCAGTTTCTATTTGGTAGACAGGGTTGCAAACCACCGTAACACAAATTCATGACGGAGATGATGTTTTTTTCAAATCTTTCTATATAATACAGTACAGTAAGAGTTTAGCATGCTAGCATTAACATTAGCATAAGTATCAAGGGCCTGCTAAACATCATGTTGATGTCTAGCGAGCAATGTTGGGCAGTAAGGCATTACTAGTGATAATAATGATAATATTAGTTTCCACAGTAACTAGTAGTGTAACTAATTACTAATACATTTCAGTAATAATATTACAGCTACCCCAACCAAAGACAAATAGTTACAACCTTACTTGTACCACCTACTTGAAATCCAACAATCCTCAGATTAATTTTTATAATCATTGAGGAAACTAGTTTTTAAACCAAACAGGGTTTTAACCACCGGAAGTCTGAATTTTAGGTAGAAAAGACACAATTACCAATTTTGTGAGGAGTTGCAGAGAACTAATATAACAAGTAGTGTAACTAATTACTGTTGGCAGGGAGTAATAAGTAAACAAATAATATTACTTTAAGAATAATGAGAAATGAGAAATTTTGACCAACTAGCCCAACACTGCTAGCAAGTCATGTTTACCAGTTCACCGTCTGAGTTTAGCTTGTTAACATGCTAACATTTGTTTGTTCTGATGGAGATATCATTTGTTTTTTTGGTGTTTGGTCTTAAACCAAAGTATTGAGCAAATGCTGACCTGATGGGGTCCATAATGTCTTAGAATATTACAGAATAGCTTTAGAAAGTGGAGTTATAAATCATCCAGTAGTGGTCAAGATAGTTCACTCAACACATGAAAAGTAAGGGGATAAACAAAGTCTGTAGGATTCACACTGTGGGTTGCTCTAGCACACACAGGCAGAGAAACATGACCTCCCATTTTCTGCAAGCAGAGTAACATGTTTTCTTTCTTTTCCACTTTAACTTTCTAGGAACTTATAACCTGCTATAACAACAGAAAAGTAGATCTTTTACTAGAGTCTTTTGTTTTTATTAAAAATGTGCTAGGGCACCTGTGTCACTGAATACCTATGCATTTCCATATCAACGTGAATGCGGTGTCAGTTCTCTTTCATCTCTGTTCAGATCCCTCTCAACCTTTTATAGCCTACATGAGTCTGCAGCATTATAGGTCTATAAAATCATTTTTTTACCTGCTCCACTTTGATGTCGTAGTCCCCAAGGACCTTCTTTCCCCGAAACACTTTGGCCCTGCAAGAGAGGAGAAGAGATTTAGTTTGTTTGTTAGTTTTTGTTCCCTCTCAGTTGTCTATGCTGCCCTCTACTGGACATCACACTCCCTGTGGAACAAATGAGAGAAAGAAAATGGATGCCTGCTGGTGCACTTTTAATGGCCAAACTTTCTTAGCTGTAGGAGAATGTATATTCTAATGAGCTTTTTGAGCGGCCTCAAAAGAGCAGAACACTGAACAGCAGATCAGTGTGGCTGTTCCAAAACTGCAATTAGTGTCATCTCAAACGGTGGTAACATTAAATTCTGGTTAGGGCTGCAATTCGGCTGCAATATTAAATGCTGTCTTGCAGCTTGAATGATGAATGTTTCCAATAACAGTGTGGTTTAATGTTGACTTCTTAATATCTTGGCTGCCACTTGATCAGGAGTGATGTAGAAATAGATTACAAGTAAACACACGGAGGCAGGCAGATGGAGAGAAGACAGACAAAGACAGGCCGACAGAGAAGAAGAGACAAGCAAAGAGGCACAGGCTGCCAGCCAAAACACAAACAGACAAAATGCTCTGGACGTCTCATTTTACAACAACATTGTAAATGGATCGCATATGGTTTACACTGCGTCCGTCATCAACCCATACACTGAAGCTAAATAAAGCAATAACCAAGAGCAAACAAAGAAGAGTTTTAATGTTTTTGAAGTCCTAGCTGATAATAAAAGCTGAAATACCTTGACAGCATGTAAACCTCAAGAAGTCCTGTCCTTATTTTCATTCCTTGTCTTCATGTTTTTGTTCATGCACCAGCTACAATGCAGAATATTTTGCGAAATGTAATGTCTCGTCAACAGGCTCTTGAGCCCCCTTGAATCCTCCAATAATATAATTTATCCCCACCAAACATCATGCCAGCTTACGTACCATAATATGACGTTACATCAAATATGTGCTCTCATGGTTCCTCTCAGTGCCAATTAAATTAAAAATGTATGTGAGTCTTTCCATATAACCTCATAGGAACTTGTGTAGCGCAGCACAGAGGCATCTGGCTTGTTAGTCTGGTTCATTAGGATCAGACCATCTGTGAGAGAAACACTGTGAGGGTATGATGCCGTAACTTCCAACAATCAATAACCATGGCAGCAAAATTTGTGACTTTAGGATTACAGCATTACATCTTTTTCATTCCCGCTGGAGGGTGCAGTTCTGTTGGTATGTGTGTTTTTCTTCATTATAGGCAGCTGCTTGAACACGCTGCAATGTTGCCATGATGACGTCCAAATATCCACCACTGAAACCTCTCTTAGATCATTAAAAACAAGCAGCACACATGAAAAACATCTTTCTAAATGAAACATGCCATCACTTCCTGCAGCTTTAATTAAAACGTTAATTTCGTTTCTCAGAAGAAAATATTTAAAACCAATCCCATTGGCTAATGAATGGGTCTAAAAAGGGGTCCACGTTCAGCACGTGTTCAGTATCTGCGGTGCACAATGCAAAACACAACACACAAAGACGTCAGGCCAATACATCAATGGCCATTTATTGTCTTCTACAGAAAGGCTGCTGACGTAGCTTCCTCATTTAATTCCATCAAACAGCATGATGTAGCTGGCACACAGCAAAACATGACATGTGCCTCCTTCTAACAGAGCTGTAAGTGAATATCTGAGAGACGTCTTTTACAAGATGGACGTGCTTGTCTCAAAAAGAAAAAAAAGACAACCTTTATATTTGATTTTGTGGGATGACAAAAGCAAACAGACATCTGCATAAAGCTTTTATGCTCATTACTTCATTTTCTGGCCACTTAGGGGCAGTAAAACAAGCTGTGGCATATTATCAGCATGTATAAAGTTGTTACAGCAAGTTTAAGTACTCAACCGCCCAAGGTTTGTAAGGTATCAAACCTCCCATTTTTAACCTCTGTCTTTTCTTTGCCTTGTCCTTTAAGTTTGCTAAGCCTGGCACCGATGCTAATTGCAACCTTTTGTCGTAATCTTTGGTGTAAGCCAGGTGGTCGCGACTTCCGTCTGCACCGACCACAGCTGCCGCGGTGGGCAGCCTGAACATTCAAAGGATATGAATGTGAGCGGTCGGTTTTGTGGTCCAGAACAGCATAAAACAATGAAGCTGGAAGCATGCTACAGGTCTGAGGGTGAAATGCTCATCAGTACACTTGTGCCTTCGTCCGCCAGTGAAACAGATGCTTAATTGTAACCTGATGTCACCTGTAACAATGAAACCCAATGGTTCTATTGACCTCTATTCCTATATACCCCCACAAACTTAATTCGGCTCTGCCAAGTGCCAACACAAATGTACAACTGCATTTACCCTCAGGCCAAACTTTCACCCCAGACAGTGGTAAGGATGTGGGAACTGAAATGTTTTTTCTCTATTTCATCCATCCATCAGTTTTGTTTTCCGTGGTGTAACGAGTGTTACAGCCTCACCGGGCAGATAACGTGGCTGTAGATTTCCATCCTGTTGGGCTAAAGGATGCCACACATTATGGAGTTGTGAGCAATATATCATCTCTGACAGGTCATCCCTACTGTTTCCTGTATTCAATTTCTAGACCCCCACTTGTGTCTTATAAAACTTGAAAACTTCAAGGAATGCAAGTCAGCAATGTTTCCTTCATTACAGACAGTTTTGGTACTGTGGATGAGACTCACTATCTTGAACACTTGAATATAATTAGATTTCTTTGTTTTTGTTTCCACTAAGGCAACTATTAACTACTTAAATGAGACAGTTGATACATCCTCAGAGACAGACACCCACATATTTTCAATTATACTGACTTAAGCTATGTTGTTTACACACTATTGAGTTTTGCTATTTATAAAGGTCAGCATCTTGAAGAGGTGCTTTTTTTTAATTAAATGGCTGGTATTCATTCCAATATAGGTGTTAAGGCTTGAAAATAAAAACAGATTTGTAGATGCAACCTTGCAATGAACACTTTAAAAAAGAGGCAATATAATCTTTTAACATAATCTGCAGACCTATGGATTTATTCAGTATTGTGAGGGTTATATTACGATTTAGATTGCCCTCTTTCGCCCCTTTATCCAAATGTAGTACCCAAAAGTAAGCTGGACTGAGTCGAAAATATAGGTAAATTTAAATCTCTTTAATTCTAGTTTGCAGTTAAGCCCATCACATCTGGACTCAACATCTGAGGAATGAAGATGGTTCTAGTTTTGAGGATAAGAAATACTAATACATAGGAATTATCATACAAAATAAGTAGCATACGTAGAACACAGTAATTGCTAATGGTTCTGGCTAAAGTGGACCTAAAATAACCAGTAATTTGGCTGGTATGGAGCACCTATTACTACAATTTGACCTGTGAGCACTTCTATGTCATTCTGTGCACCATATAGAATATATACTTATATAGAAGTTAGCAAAAACTTAGTAACAACTCTAATGCAGGTTTGTGAATCTAACAAGCATGCCGCTGAAAACAACATTACCAAAGGTTCTGTGCTGGGCTAATTTGAACAGCTGAGCTTTGTTGACTCCATCTTTTTTTCAGGATCATTTGATGCGTTCTCACTTTCATTATTGATTGGAGGAGACCAAGAGTCTGAGACAGCCACACGGCCCTGTAGAAATTAAGCCTTTCAAATCAATGCACGGTAATGACAGAAAGAAAGGGACGGAGAGAAAGAGATGACGAACAACAGAAATACAAAGAAGGAATGAGTGGAGGATGTATTGCAACAATACAATAATTACACTGAACATAACAAAGACTGTGTGCAATAGCTGTAGTGTGGACTTGAGTATTAGAAGCCATTACCTAATAATCATTCCAATAAAGATATTACATTCTTGATTTTAAGTGTTTGAACTAAACATTTACTTATCCCAACACATGAACATTATTATGTTTGAATAATGATTTATTTTCATTTGATTCCACTATTTCCTCTGTTCCCAGAGACTATCTCCTAAAATACATATAGATGCTTGATTGCTAAAGGGTCATCAGATGGTGAGAAAGTCCTGTATCATATAGCGAGTTACACATATCACATTATGATAGCTGATGTCCTTTGTCCCTCATTTTCCTATCATAGCCATAGTTAATTCCCGCTTTCCCTTTAAATGCACATGTTTTTCCACACATCTGTTTTCCTCTACCATCAGTGGTTATCATGATCGCTTCAATGCAAAGACGCATTAATGGGATGTATGCATACAAATGAACCATGCATGATAAGCAACTGCAGTTTAATGGGTTTAGTGAGACAAGAGTGATCGTTCTAAGGCAGATTGTGTTGCTATGGTGTTTTAAGGCGTGGAAAATCAGTCTCTGGGAACAGCATGTTGACATTATTGTCTAGGCAAAGCAGCATTTAACTCAAACTGACTTGATAAAAACAAAACTGTGAGTATAATTACCAAGAGCACAGTTGGACTATACAATTAAGAGTTAGAGCCTTGGTGATTCTGATTGGTTTTATAAATTCACATAACCCGGAATTCTTTTTCATAAACCTACAAAAAAGTCTCCATCTGCCCTTTGTGGTACAGCACAATGGCTCTGGCAGTGCAAGAACATACACGCCCTGGCCTTGATCCACAAGTGGAGTGAAACAAGACTCTTGACTATTGGGGTGAAAGGGTACAGAAAGTGTTAAAGCAGTCCTGTCAGCTCTAGTGCGGTGGGAGAAAGCAGGAGTCTAATTATTTGGTTAGCTGGCACACTGCAGTCAGACAATGTAAGGGCATTAAAATGAGAGGAAGGAATAACACAGGGGGCCTGTGCTGGCTGCAGACCAAGAACTCATTTTGAGTCTCTATGGAAGCTTTTTACTGCATGCTACTACGTACTGGATGTTTTTAAAGCCATACTTGTTACTGAATGTCATAGGCAGAGGTCAAAGAAGTATGCAGTTTAAGTCCCCATGAAGACAAATTGATGTTTAAGTGTTTTTATCACATATGTCTAACACTATATGCAACCTATACGCCAGTTTCAGGCCCAACAAT